ATGGCGATGGTGGTGGTGGTGAGGATGTTTGGGGTTGTCGATGATGGAGGTGCCCCCGGGGCCTGTCCTTATCCCAAGTCCAGGAGAGGAGAGAGGGAGAGGCGAAGAGCGAAGACGCTGGAGGAATCTGCCTCCACACTCAGAGAAGCCTGAGAACTTGCAAGCCTGTCGGCAATGGAGGCTGCCTTCCCCTGACTCCCCCGTCCCGGAGGCTGTCTCCCCAGCAAGGCCCAGGGCGCCTCGTTTCTCCTCTCCTGGGGACTCGGAGGCTGCGGAGGGTGTGAAAGGCCGTGACCGGGGTCTCAGCCAGCAGACCCAGGGCCTCTGCTGAGCCAGCAGGTGCCGGCGGGAGCCCGTGCCCGCAGCAGCGTCCAGGTGGCCTGGCAGGAATGTGGCCTTGGTTTGCTTGCTCCCAGCGCCAGCACCGGGAGAATGCTCAGCGGTCTCTGTGTTCCTGTGCGGGAGGCAGTTCCTCAGCAACCAAGTAGCATCTGCAATGCCTTCTGCTGCGAGGAAGCTGCTGGCTGCCTGGGGAGGGCGGAGACCTCCCTCCCTCCAGCCCCCTGAGCGAGACTCCGCCGGGAGAAGCAAGACCCACATGTCCGTGTCCTAGAGCTGCAGACACAAATGACCACAAACTGGGTGGCTTCAAAACAGCGGCATTTATTCTCTGGCCGCTCTGGTGTCGCCTGGTGCCTCTCCCCGGCCTCTGGGGCCCCCGTGTCCTTGGCTGGCGTGCATCACTCCAGACCCTGCCTCGGTCTTCCCCTGGCCGCCTCCCTGGGGGTGTCCTCTCCTCATCTCATCAGGACACCAGTCCTTGGATCTGGGCCCACCCTTATCCAGTGTGACCCCCTATCACCTCACTATGTCTGCAAAGACGCCGCCTCCAAATGCAGTCGCATCCTGAGGGTCCGGGTGGACTTGAATTTGGGGGCTATTCAACTCAATGCATAAACTAAAACTCCAAATGCCGGCAGGGATCCCCAAATCCTCCGTGCACGAACCTGACACCAGAAGCACAAAGCCAGACCACTGTGGTCCCCTCTTCCTTTAAGAGCGACTACATTTTGTGGGGTCTTTTTCATGAGGTTAAAACTTCTGTAGCTCTCTGTGCCCCTTCACAGGCAGCTCCACCCACTTAGGGTCCTTCGGAGCAGTGGGGGGGGGGGGGGGGGCGGGGCGAAGAGGCAGGGACCTTCATAGACCAGGTCAGCCCCCTGGGAAGGGACAGGAGAGGGCCGCTCCACAGGGAGCCCCAGGGAAGGACTGCCCTCGTCCCAGGTGGGGTGGAAGTCTGGGTTCTCCCCGGGGCCCCTGTGGACATCTGGATTGGGGGAAGGGCCCCTCCGTATTGCTGAAAAGAGAGTGAAGTTCAGGCCCCCCCCCCCCCCGCCTCTGTTGATCCCCCCTGGCTGGGAGGGGCTGGGGGCTTCATTACTGCTCCCCACATGGCCTCCACTGAGACCACAGGGCAGGTGGCCTCGTCTCTGCTCGGGGTCAGAGTCCTCACTGGACCGCCTCCTGCAGCAGCCTTGGGGGAAAGGGCCCGTCCCTGCCGGGCTGCCATGCAAGCCCGCCTTCTCCAATGTCTGACAGCTCCGGGGAGCGGGGCACTGGGACGCTGCCGTTCTACTCGAGGAGGGTGGAGGTCCAGGCGCCCCCTCCCCCTTTTGCTGACACCAGGGCACAGAGAGGTGAGGCCACTTGCCCAGGGTCACACAGTCAAGGCAGGGCAGTGCCTGCGTCATCTAGTTACCAGAGGTGTGCGGGCTGTGATGCGTCAGGGCTGGGGCCTAATGGCCTTACTGGGGGCTACGCAGCCTCTTACAAAGGTAACAGCTGACCTGACCGCAGGGCTGGCTCTCCCCACCCACGTTTATTGGGCACGGTGGGCCTCTGGGTCACACAGCTCCGTGATGGGTGCGGCGCTGTCACTCGGCCTCTGGCTGGCTGGGAGCACTCTGCTCGGAGGCCGTGATCACAGGCAGATGTTCTGTGGCCTCCAGTTGGTCACTTTCACCCTTTTTCTTTTTAATTGTCCATCAGAGAGGGCGCTCTGCCCCCGTGAGGGATTTTCCTGACGACTTTAAGCTGCTCGCTGCAGGTCCAGGCCGGCTTCGGAAGGGGATGTTTCTCAGTGGCACAAAGGGAAAGATGTTTTTGTTTCTAGCAGGCCAGGGACACACTATAAAGGTGAAGAACTAGGTAAAAACAGCCCAGCTTTCGATGACTACAGAAGACGCCTGGTGTGGAGTAACTCTTAAGACGGATGCTGCTTCGAGTGGGTATGCTGCTTCCCTTCTGAAGGCAAATCGCTTGACATGGTGGCCAAATCATTTTTTCCAAGTTTACCACTAATGAGGAATTTGACCGCTTTTGTTCTTGCAAAAGCCATCAGAGCTACCAATCAATCTAAAAGGAATGAAGCTGCCCTTGGTGAGGCCAGAGGCCTGATGTCAGTTGTGTGGGTTGCAGGCGGGGGGGTGGGGGGGGGCATCGAACGATGGGGAGGGAGACGGGACGCTGGGAAGGACGCCACGTCTGGACTTTTGAAAATTTAATGCGTATGTGACTTGACACTTGGACCCGGCCGAGTGGAGAGGGCTGATCTGCACAAGATCATCCCTATTCCATGAGCTGTGTTCTGTCCGAGATGAAATTAGATTTCAGAAAACATTGCTTTCCTTTCATGACCGCGAGCCGGCCATGAGCCGACTGTTGTGTGCGCCTTCCCCGGGGTTGACCAGACCCCTGAGCAGATGTGAGGGATTAGTCAAGGTTCCCATCTGCTAACGGCCACTGCGGTCTGTGCATTTGACCAGCATCCGAGGCGATGGGAGCTGGTCTGTGCAGGGTCTGGAAGCAGCGGGGGCAGCCTCTTCCCAGCCAACCAGGAAGAAACTGACCTCAGCAGGCTGTTTTCTTTTTCTTAAAAACAAAACAAAACAAAACAAAAATATATATATATATATTTTATTGATTTCAGAGAGAAAATGAGAGGGAGAGAGAGATAGAAACATCAATGATGGGAGAGAATCATGGATCCGCTGCCTCCTGCATACCCCACACTGGGGATCGAGCCTGCAACCCAGGCATGTGCCCTGACCAGGAATCGAACTTTGACCTCCTGGCTCATAGGTCCATGATCAACCACTGAGCCACACAGGCCAGGCTGTAACCAGGATTTATTTAACACTTGTTATCTTGGGGTGATGTCTCCTGCATGAGTTGTTTTCCTTAAACATGTACTTATAAAGCTTTCAACATCTGAGTCAACCACCCATTAGCTGGCTATAAAGAGAGTGCCTGTCTTGGTGGATAACTAGGATTCTTGATGTTCCTGTATGTGAGGGCAACCTGTGTGTGAGCCGACTCGGCAACTTTTCCACTAGATATTAACTCATTTGAGTAGTGAAGGCTTTGAAGTCTTCCAGTTTCTCCACTCAAGTGCAGACATGACACTGAAAACCTTATTCTCCCAACATTTTCGCAGGCTTTGTCGAAATGGAAGCTCAGGGTAAGCTGTGGGGATAATATAATATTCTGTCTACACATAACTGGGCTGTGCTTTCTTCTGATGGAAATTAAGCAATTTTCAGATTCAAACTCCGAGACAAGCACCAATGGATCACATCCTAAGAAACCTAGAGAATTAGGAATTGACACTTAAAGCATTTATAATCCATAGTGTCAAAGCTCCACATATCACATCAGGCTCTGCCCTGGCTGGGTAGTTAGTTCAGTTGGTTAGAGCGTTGTTTCCAGTGGCCACAGTTCCATGTATGCTATCATTTTTCTCAGTAAGTACAGTGTTATCTCCAAGACTACCAATCTGATGGGAATCAGAGCAGGAAGCCAAACCTCAAACCTACATCTCCTGATGCTCAGACCCATTTTCAGTTGCCTGTTTGTCACATAAGCCGTCAGATATTTTATCTGCACGCAGAAGTGTGCGCGGTGGTTTCAGAAGCTGGGTAGTGTAATTCCTGAGATATCAGGAGACTGAGTTCTTTGGAATCATCCCACAGCCTCCAACAAAAAGGTGAAAACTGTCCACTTTGATGAATGACAGCAGGATCCTTCCACTCCATGGGCCATTTTGTAAATATGAAACAGTTGCTGGAAAATTATGTTAGAGATGAATTAACTCCCCCATTACGATGTTTTCTTTTCTTTAATGCAATTTAGTTCAAGCAGAAAGAACAAAAAGGCTGGGAGGGAGGGCCGCACTGGCTGCTGCTTCCGAGGGGTTACTGGAGGCGAGCTGGGCAGTGAAAAGGTGATTCACAGAAGACCGGGGGCGGGGGCCAGCCCAGGCCTTCTGTCCAGGAGGCCTGCGCCAAGGGCCCGGCTGTGCGCACGGGAAGCTGAATTCAGAGCTCCTCTGCACCACAATCCAGGGCAGCTGGCAGCTGCCCAGGGAGCCGGAGGGAAACTGCAAGGGCATCCGAGGCCACACTGGCCAGTGCCTGCGGAGCCGCCCAGGGTGGGCCCAGGGCGCCGGATGATGGGGACCTTATGATGACGCTCATTCCAGAGCCTCCCCTGGGCCCATTTGAAAGCAAAGGAGCGCCTCCATCACATGCCATAGCCGAAAGGCTGGAATTTCCCTGAAAACGTCTCGGAGTCGCAGGAGGAAGGCCTGACTTTGGAAGACGTGCGCGTCTAGACCTTTTCTCCTGAGCGCACGTGCGAGGAGGAGCCCTCGCCGCGGGTTTTGTAGAGTGGGCGTCCCCGTGTCCGGACCCCACGGCCGCCCCCAGGCTGCGCCCCGGCGGGGGCCGGGCAGGTGTCCCCGCGCGCGCGGCTGGCCTTCAGGGGGCGCGTCCCAGCGTCGCCCGGCCGGCACCCAGAGGGCAGGGCGTGGCCGCGCGGCGCAGGCCCCGCCCACCGCGACCGGGGGCGGGGCCTGCGCGTCACGTGACGGCGGCGCCCAGCGCGAGCGCCCCGCCCGGCGGGAGGAGTCCGGCCGCGACCCGGCCCGCGCGCTGCTGGAGCCACCCGGCCGTCTGCGCGCTCTGCACCCGCGGCGCCCCCGCCCGCGGCCCCTCGCGCGCCGGCTCCGGGCTCACCGGCAGCGGGAGCGGCCTCAAGATGGACGAAGGCGGCGGCGGCGGCGGCGGGGAGGGCGGCGGTGAGTGTCGGAGGTGTGGCCGGCCGGGCTGGCGGCCTGAGGTGGGGCTCGCGGACGCGCGGGTCCGAGGTCGGGGGTCGAGGGTCTTGGAGCGCCCGGGGAGACGGGGTCCCGGCAGCGCCGGTGCCGGCTGGCGACCGCCCAGGCCCGCGGCGCGCCGGGCCCGGCGACCGAGTCGAGGGTCCGGGGTTTCGGGGAGGGACGGGCGGGGTCGCCGCGGAGCCGGTGTGAGCAGCTCGGGGTCTCTGGCCGGGCTCGGGGGTCCCTCTCCGGGGGCCGGGCGCCTTGGGGGCGACCTTCCCCGCCTCTTGTCACCAAGGGCGTCCACGCCCTCCGGAGCCCGGCCGCGGGAGCGCCCTCAACGCCGTTCCCAGCGGTGGGAATGGGGAGCCCCCGGGAGGGTGAGCAGGGGAAAGTTTTGAATTGGGGACCCTCGGGTGCCAGGGGCGCGGGCGCGGGGAGAGGGTGGGGCGTCGGGACGGTTTCCTCGGCGTTGGGTCCGAAGTGGCCGGGGAGGTCGCTCCGGCGAGGAGGGGCCGCGGGAGCGCACGCGTTTTCGGAAACGGGACCCGCGGCCGAGTTCGCGAAACCTCAGGAGCCGCCCGCCGCCCGGTCCCTGCCGCTGCGGGAGCCGCGACTGTCGGGAATCACGCAGTGGACACAGATGACCGGCGGTGGGGTTGCGAGTTACGCCTGTAAGAAGGATAGCGCGCCGGGGGGTGGGGGTCCTTGGTTTGGGAAGCACAGGATCCCCCCCACTTCGCCCGCAGTTTCCGGGGGGACCCGGAGTGGAGGATCTCTGTGTTTTGACTCAAGCCCTCCTTTCTGCTGACCGACCGAACCGCCGGAACCCCTTGTCATAGGGAGCGTTTTGAAAAAACAAAACAAAAAAACCTTAATTACAGGCTCCGGCGAGCAGCTGCCGGTGCCAGTCGGCAGCCCGGAGGCTCCGGGCGGAGCGGCCGGTCCCGGTGCTTTCAGAGCCCCCGCGCCGCTCAGGTGGGTCGGCGCCCGGCAGCACGCGGCCCGGCGGGCGGGGAGGGGCTGGCGGCGCGCCGGAGCCGGGGTAGCGAGTGGCCCCGCGGGGCTGCTGTTCGGGAAAGAAGGCGCCCCGGGAAGGCGCCCCCTGGCAACCCTCCCGCCAGGCGGCCCGTCTGCAGCCCGAGCCTGGGGCGCTCGGAGTCGGGGTGCAGCACGGCTCCCCGCGGCTGCCCCTGGTGAGAAAATGAAGACCAGCAGCGGGAATAGGGAAGCGATGGGCGTTTGAGGCCAAGTGGCCAGCTGGCTTGGTGACTTTTTTGGGGGGGTGGTGTGTGTTATGGGTGACTTTTACTTCTATTTATATATTTAAGAAAAGTTTTGTGATGTTTGACAAGCATCTTTTTTTTAAATTTTTCTTTTTTTTAAAAAAATTTACAAAGTTTTGTTTTTGTTTATGTGCTCAATCTTAGGAACTGTGGACACTCGTCAGTCAGTCCTGGCTTGAAAAAGGCTGAGACGTGTGTGACCCGGGTGGTGAAATTTCCTTTGGGGAATCTGGATTTCAAAATAAAAACATTTCACCCATTTCCAAGTTTAAAAACATGATGTACCGCCCTGGCCGGTTTGGCTCAGTGGATAGAGCTTCAGCCTGCGGACTGAAGGGTCCCGGGTTCTATTCCGGTCAAGGGCATGTACCTTGGTTTCGGGCACATCCCCAGTGGGGGGTGTGCAGGAGGCAGCTGGTCGATGTTTCTCTCTCATCGATGTTTCTGACTCTCTCTCTCTCTCCCTTCCTCTCTGTAAAAAATCAATAAAATATATTTGAAAAAAACAAAACAAAACATGATGTACCTTTCCCCCCCAAATTTTTATTTTTCAATTACAGTTGGTATTCAGTATTTTGTATTTGTTTCCGGCGTACAGCATAGGGGTTAGGCAGTTATGTAATTTATGAAGTGTGACCCCTTGGTCATCCTAGTGCCCACCTGGCACCATACCCAGTTACACGCTATTACCATGTTATACTGGTAGACTCTGTACCCTGTTGGCAGTTTTGTTTGGGAGATGTATGTTTCTGACTCTTTGAGTCAAGGAATGCAGAAGGCTTGAAAGTAAAAGTAGTTTAAAGATTTAGAAAAGGAAGCCAGTGGGCCCAGCAGTTTACAGGCCTTTAGTACTGTAACAAAGGATGGTGTTAAAAGTATCCAAAGTCTTAAGACTTTCTTGGGGCGGTTCCTATCTCTCCTGGGAATACAATCTTGAAATTCAGAAGAAAGACTTCACGTGGGAAGATGTGCATTGCACTCTAATAGTAGAAAATTGGAAACAGCAGTGCCCAGTAGGAGACGGGTGAGGTAGACTGTGGGAAGTTTATTGGATGAATTGTTTTACAACCATTGAAAAACAAAGCAGTTCTATATATCATGGTCTAAACCAGGGGTGGGCAAACTTTTTGACTCGAGGGCCACAATGGGTTCTTAAACTGGACGGAGGGCCGGAACAAAAGCATGGATGGAGTGTTTGTGTGAACTAATATAAATTCAAAGTAAACATCATTACATAAAAGGGTACGGTCTTTTTTTTTTTAGTTTTATTCATTTCAAACGGGCCGGATCCGGCCCACGGGCAGTAGTTTGCCCACGGCTGGTCTAAACAGTGTAAAAATAGTGATACTGTGTTTTATTGACTTAATTTTTGTACTCAAGTTTCTGAATGATGTGTATTACTTTGAAATTTGAACGAAAGAACTTATAAAAAATGTTCCCTGCAGTAGGAAAAGGGTCTGATTATTTAAATGTATGACTTAATCCAGCTCATGGAACAGTCGAGAATGAACAGGTAACTTACTGATTGTCTACTAAGATGCCAGGCAGCATGCTAGGGCCTGGAAAACAACAGTGAACCTTTACTGATACGGTTTATTAAGATCTTTCTTCCTTGCATTACGGAAGACACTTAAAAATATGTTTGGCAATCTTAGGATAAGTAGGTTTTGAATAAGTGATGATTGTATGCATTAGGTGTGCTCATATATAACTTGATTACTGGAGAGTTTGAAATTAACATCTTTACATTTCTTTAGTTATTACTACCATTTATATTTCCAAAAATAATGCTTTGCTTTAAAATTCATGTTTTAGGGGTTGGGGGTAAGAGATCAACCAAAGGACTTGTATGCATGCATGTAAGCATAACCAATGGACACAAGACACTGGGGCGTAGGGGAGGTCGGGGGAAGGTCAAGGGGGAAAATAAAAAGGAAACATATGTACTACTCTTTGTAATATCTTAAGCAATAAAACAAAATAAAAAAATACGTTAAAAACAAACAATGAAATTCATGTTTTAGAAAATAAAGTATGGCCTTCGGAAAGGCCACAAAGTCATTTGCCAGCAGTTGTAAAACATCACTTTTTTGGGGGGTATATTTCAGAGTAATCGCACAGCCCTGTATACGGGAAGTCAGTCTCGGGTTGTTTACAAGACGGGGTAAATAATCTATTCAAACAGCTACAGCCGGGGCGACAGATAACTTAAAAGCTCTTTTTCTAATGTGCTGGTTGTGTTAAAAGACTTTTTAAAAATGACTCCTACTTGCTGTTTTCATAATTTAAATTTGGTCCAGGGTATTATTATTTGTTCTCTCAGTGTGAGATAAGGAGAGGGGAGGGTGGCATGAATGGTTGGAAGGCAGTGCCAAGGAGGAAGTGGGGGGGATGAGATTACAAGAACACATTGTTGCTTACAGTGCGTGCAGGGTGCAGTTAAGGTATGGCTGGTTCCTTTGGGGCTTGGTTGCCATTCAGTTTTTCTAAAACGGTTCTTGAGATGTGTCTCTACTTGGCAGGTGACTGGCCGGTTCGGCTCGTTGCCAGCATCATGGTGCTCAGTTTGGGAATCTGTCTGATTGATGTTCCTGAATGGACCATCTGTGGCAGAGGAGGTGAAGGACTTTGCTGGCTTTCCCCTCATCCCCCCCCTCCCCCCCCCCCCCCCCCCCCCGCCCCGGCCAGTCTGTGTAGATGAGGATTAAGTCTGTGTCTCACGCGAAAAGATGCTCAACCTCACTCAATAAAATACATTACCACAAGGTGGGGGTCCCGGGTTTCACCTGTCAGGCAAGCAACAACCCCCACGTCTGAAAGCATCTGTTGGCCATGGGAGTGTAAATTAGTTCCGGCTCTTAAGGAGGCAGCGCCAGCCCGGTCCTGTTGGCTCAGATCCACTGCCTGCCTCCCCCTGGGGAGGGCCTGGCCCCGCAGGCAGCATTTCCCAAACCCGTGGGCCCGCTGGCTTGGGGGGGGCTTGGCCGGTGGGGCCTCGGGTGGGAGGTTGGCAGGAGGAGGGAGAACCCAGGTTCTCGCCTCGGTTCTGCCTCAGTGCCTCTCCTTTGCTGGGTCTCCTTTGGCTCCAGCTCGTGCGGGCCAGTTGACCGAGGCCCTGAGCTTTGAAAATACCTCCTCCCTTTGGCCCTCCAACTTAGCAGTGGTCGCGGCGTCCAGCTCTTGCTCATGTGTGCATTCCTTACCATTTCCGGTTTCACTTCCCAGCTTCCCCGTCATGTGCGCAACCAATTCTTTGTATGACATTCCCTTATTTCAGCTGCTCAGAGGAATTGTGTTTCTGTGGGTGAATCCCATCAATAAAGGGGCATCAGACAGCAGCTTTTAAAGTGACAGACGTATAAATCCTTTGACCCAGCCAAGCCAGGTCTAGGAATTTAACCTGCAGGTATATGTGTGCATGTGTGAGATACCACAGGTACGAGATGATTCCCTGCCTTGTTGGTGACAGGAAACGGTGGGAAGTGACTGGAGGGCCCCTCAGGACACTGGCCGGATAACCCTTCCGCGCACAGGTGGGGAGCGAAGTGGGGAGCTTGTGGAAAGGAGCCAGGGGCTCCGTATGGATTCATTAGAAAGTTACAGAAGCCAAGTGTGGGAAAATGTCCAGTGTGTGCTACCATTTCCGTGTGTGTGTGTGTGTGTGTGTGTGTGAGAGAGAGAGAGGGAGAGGGAGGAAGTGGATGCAAATTCTCGGGAAGGCTATACAAGGAACTAATAACAGGGTTACTTGCTGGGGAGGGTGATGGGAACTGGGCAGGTGGGAGTGTGGGTGCAGAGGAAACTTCTCGCTCTGTGCTTTAAATTTTTTTGAAATAGAAGTTGAAGTCTGCCTTTACTTTTCCCCAAGGGGGCAAACCGCTTCATGGAGCAGCAGTAACTGGTAAGAAAACACCCTTTAACATGTAGAAAGTGATAACGACAGGGCTTGTGTTTCCAGACTGTGCACAGGGCATGAATAACCGTCATTCCTTGGAGCGTTCGCAGTGACTGGCAGGCGCCGTGAGAGCGCTGAGCGCGTTGTTTCCTGGAGTGTTTACGTACTCAGCGAGCATTGACAGCACCCCCACCCACGCCGGTCCTGTGCTCGGCTGGAGGGAGCATTGTGAACACGGCAGGTGAATTGCCCCTGTGCATGGAGCTTCTGTTTAGATGGGAGACAGACAGAAAGGGATATGTAAAACGGATGCAAATTATGCAGAGTGTGTTGAAGGGAATCTGTGAGGGGCTGAGGGGAGAGTGAGGGTGGGTGGGGCATGGGGGGCAGGAGAAGTGTGGGCACAGCCAGGTGGCCAGGGAATGCCTGGTGGGGGAAGCCTCTCAGATGCAACCTGAAGGGTATAGTGACCGGGCAGAGGGCAGGTACTGGGCTGCAGGGAGCTGAGTGTGCCCAGAGGCTTGGAGCTTTGTGGCCTGAGCAGAGAATGAAGGGGGGCGGTGGGGACAGGCCCAGGGCCACCTCAGGTGGCTTCAGTGAGAAGGGAAGGGTCTTCCGCGGGAGATTCAGGGACCGTAGCTAATACTTACATCCTGCTCTGTGCTGGTTTCTGCCCTGTGTGCTTTACAGAGTTAACCTGCTCATTCTTCAAAGCAACCCTCTTAGGTTCTTAATATTCACAGGAAAGAGTGGAGCCCGGAGGTGTGGGGAAGCTGAGTGACTTGCTTCAACTTTCCCAGCCTGCAGGGGTGGAGCTGCGATTCGGACCCAGGCATTTGGGCTTCAGGGGCCGTATTCGTAGCCCCTGTGCACAAAGCCTCAAAGAAGAGCGTTCCTGGCTACGGAGCGGAGCGGACAGGGGGTTGGAGGAGGGATGAGAGGACCGGGGACACCAGTGAGGATGCAGGGGCTGGGTTCAGCTGAGAGTGGTAGCCCCTGTTTCTTCTTTCAACCACTGTGACGTTCTGTTGACCTCGCCCTGGGCTGGCCTTGAGTGTTGATCACGTGCTGTTGTTACAATCAGTAAGGTGGGCCCTCAGCCTCGCTTCCTTTTGCGGAGGCGCGAAAGCTCGTCTCCAGCGTGTCTCTAGCATCGCGGTTGCGGGTTCCAGGTTTGCTCTCGGTTTCCCTAGATACGGACAGATTGCTTCCTCCCTGGGAGCCCTCAGCATGCTAATCGGCTCTTGGCGCTTGCCTGCGCGTGAGAGCGATGTGCCGTTTTAATTTGCATTGCCTTACGAGCCACGAGATGTATTTTTGGAGAATCAAATGGACGCGACAGCTTGGAGGTTGGAGGTGAAGGAACTGTGGGAATCCATGTCTAGGTTTCTGGCTGTGCGTCTGTGTGGGTGGCGCTGCTGCTTAGCGATGGAGAGAACGCCATTCGGAGGGTCCATTTGTGTTTCTTGTCAAGATGTCATTATTTTGCCCGCACTTTAAAGGATGTTGCCACTGGGTGTACAGTTGTAGGTGCTCTGACATGTCATTTCTTTGGCTTCTGGCTTCCGTTGTTTCTGTTGAGAAATCAGCTGTATATCTTGTTCTTTTTTTCGTTTTAGAAGCAACTTTTATTTTTTTGGTTAATCCTCACTCGAAGATATTTTTCCATTGATTTTTTAGAGAGAGTGGAAGGGGGAGGGAGAGACAGAGAGAAACATCGATGTGAAAGAGAGACATCGATTGGTTGCCTCCGGCATGTGCCCAGACCAGGGTGTGGGGAACCTGCAACCAGGATGCTTGCCCTGAACCGGAATCGAATGCAGGACCCTTCAGCCCGCGGGCTGGAGCTCTGTCCACTGAGCTAAACCGGCCGGGCTGCCTTGTTCTTTTGAAGGCGTTGTGTCTCTGGCTGCTTTGCCTTTGGTTTTCAGCCGTGTTACTGTGATGCGTCCAGGTGTGGTTTTCTTTGAGTCTGTGCTGCTTGGGGTTGACTGGTGGTGGTTCTTGCTTTGGGCAGCACCATGACAAGACTTGCTCGTACATTAGACTTGGAGTATCCTTGGTCATTATCTCTCCTTTCGCTACTTTCCTTATCTGTTCTCCTTCTTGGACTCTCTCTCATCATGTCCTGTATGTCTCTCAGACCCCTGTCTCCATCTCTCCATTCTCCACTCTGTGCATTTTCTTCTGACCTATATTCCAGTGTATTAATTTTCTCGTTAGCTCTGTCTAATCTGCTGTTAAACCTGTCGATTAAGTTCTTAATTTCACTTATTGTCTTTTTCAGTTCTCCTAATTCTTTTCTGCTAAAAAATTTCATCTTGACAACTTTAATTACAATTATTGTAAGTCTGTCTGATACATATTCCATTATCTATTTTACCCTTGGTTTTCATTCATATTATCTTGATTTTAGATTGCCTGTTAAGCTTCTATTTTTTTTTTTTAATGTTTTTAAAATTTATTTTAGGGAGAGAGGAAGGCAGAGGGACAGAGAGATAAAAACAGCGATGAGGGAGAAACTGCAACCTGGGCATCGAGCCTGAAACCCCGGGCATGTGCCCTGACTGGGAATTGAACCAGTGACCTCTTGGTTCATGGGTCAGTGCTCAACTACTGAGCAGCACTGGCCGGGCGCCTGTTAACTTTAATTAAATTGTCACAATGTGTGTGACAATGTGAAGAGAGAATTTGAGACTGGCTCTCTTCCCTCAGAGAGCCTTCTGGCAGGCAGTTAAGGAGGGAAATATCACTGTAAGGTTGTGAGGATCGGGTTACTCTGGTTTACCCTTCTCCGAGGGTCTAGCTCTCCGGTGGGCCTCGCTCATAGCCAGGGTGTTTCCAGGCCCTCTTCTCCTTGGCAGCCCCCCAGCTCTAATTCTTGCCCCCCAGCCCCCTAAGACTGCGGGAGATTCGGCCTCCTGCTCAGATTCTCAGCCACTTGTTTCTGCTTAGCTTTTGACCTCTCAGTTTCCGCTGTGAGTCGGCAAATGTGTCGAGGACAAAGGTGGCTCAGGTTATGGGGCTCCTGAGTCCTGGCTGCGTGGGTAGCGCTCCGATGCCTCAGGCAGTTGCTGCTTGTAATTTGTTCGGCTCTTTCCGTTGTCCTTGGCGGAGGGACTGGTCTGCAGCAAGCCCGTCAGCTGTTACCAGAAGTGGGTCCCAGGAGTTCGCTTCTGGCCTTCAAGGTTGGACGTGCCCGGGAGCGATCCCGGTGGGGCTGGCAGGGAGGCAGTTGCTGCGTGTGGGTCGCGGCTTAGAAGACGCGTCTGGGTAGGAGATGAACATGGAGACGACTCTTAAGTCACGGGGAGGGATGAATGAGATCGCGTGGTGGGGAGAGTTGAGGGGCAGGAGAAAAACCCCGGGACCGAGGACAACCCAGCGAAGGAGATGGAGAAACGGTCGCAGTGTGTGGAGGAGACCGGGAGGTCTGTGCGGGGCTGCCGGCGTTCAGGAGCGGGAGTGTTTGAGGGAAAGGTAGTGGCCGGCTGTGCCGAATGTCCTCGAGAGGCGGAGGGAAATGAGGGTAGTGTCTCCTGGATTTGGTGACTTGGAAAAACCAGTCTGGCCCAACCGGCGTGGCTCAGTGGTTGAGCATCGACCTATGAACTAGAAAGTCGCGGATCGATTCCCGGTCAGGGCACATGTCCGGTTGGGGGCTCGATCATCCCCAGCGGAGACCATACAGGAGGCAGCTGATCAGTGATTATCTCTCTCTCCGTTCCCTTCCTCTCTGAAATCAATAAAACATATTTTTTTAAAAACCGTCCAGTTTGGTGAAAGGTGTAGAGAAGGCAGGCTAGGCCACAGTGGGCTAAGGAGATTGCTCCTGGCGGGACGAAAGCATGTGCCATGGCCCTTCGTGGGAGTTGGTTAAGAGGAGAGGTAAGGAAGCCAGCGCCGTGGGGACTGAGAGGGGAAGAGGGAACCACAGGTTTCTCAGAGAATCTTCTGGTGGAGGCCAGCCTACTCCCCATCAGGTGATTGGAGCAGCCACGTTGCCGCACACACACTCGGGTGAATCACGCCGGGAGAGAGAGCTTAGTTTGAGGGAGTTACTGGCAGAGCCTTTGGGAAGCAGGACTATTGACACTTCTGAAGCGAAATGAAGTGAACAAATAGGTTTTACCAAAGTTTCCTAAAAGCTGTTTAAAAAGACTTTGCAATTGGGGGAAAATAGTAACTCATGTAGGTGAGAGTAGAGAATACATGTGTCTGCCCCGCCTGATTGTTCAGTGGGTTGAGCGCCATCCTGTGTGCCGGAGGGTTGCTAGCTCGATTCCCAGTCAGGGCACGCGCCTGGCTTGTGGGTTTGATCGCCAGTTGGGAAGCGTAAGGTGCAAGGAAGGCAACTGATGGCTGCTCCCCCTCAGCGTGCCCGCAGGTGAAGATTAAGAGAAGAAAATACACGGTCCCCGCCCCGACCTTTGAAGTTGAGCTTGCACACTTTTTGTAGTCGGTGCCAGTGCCGGTAGACGGAACGCAGTGGGCACGCGCCTGCAGTGTCTTACGGTTTGGCTGCAGGCGGGTCAGCACGCGCTTGTTTGCTTTTGATCGGTGTCTCTCAGCGTTACGTGAATCCTAGAAAAGGCTCACCTAGTCCCGCGGGTTGGCCAGGAAGAGTTTGTAGCTTACTTCCGCTGAGCAGATTTACTTCGAGCTGACGTGTTCTCGGTAAGACACCGGGACCCTGCTCGGACGGGACAGTCAGCCCATCGGAAACCCTCGGCCGAGCTATTTTAATTACTGCCTCCTCTTCTTGAAAAGCTTAGTCCTGTAATTGATCTATAAAAACAGCAGCTTGCTATAAAAACGGGACATTTTAATGATGATGGAGAAGTATTTCCCAATATCTGGGTAATTAGCGATTTCTTTTCCAGTCTTCATCCAGATGTCTGGCACCGTGCAGGCAGGGCCTGGCCGCAGCCTCAGACCCGCTTCCATGGGAACATGTCATGTTCTCCGTTTGTTTTGGACGGCAGTTTCCTTCTTGTGTGGACAGATACATATGAAACACATGCTCTCCGCGTGGAGTTTGTGGTCCTCTGAGAATTCTCTGGAGGAGGAAATGGGTTGACCTATTTGGTTGCTATGAAGTAAAAACAATCTTGTTTTCATTTTTCAGTGAACATCTGGGTTGCATTTATTATTTTACATTCTAGAGGTTCTTTTTAAAGCCACAATTTGATAATGTGAGGGTTCATTAAAGCAGTAACTAGCTGTTTCTGTAATCAAATTAAGTGCTAGGGTGGCTGGTAGTTTTAAACAAATATTAAAAAATTGTTTTCTTTTCTACAAAATGTAACTTCCAAATGTCAGCCCTTGGTTTTAAACCATAAAACGGGATTTAGATATTTTGGGAGGAAGGATTGGTCACCCGGTTTACTCCCTGCTGCCCACGGCGGTGCAGGGTGTGGCCATGCGGGGCTGTATCTGCCCCTAAACAGGACCATCCCCCCTCGTCCTTGTAAAGAGCCCTGATTCTGGCCCTGACCGGTTTGCCTCAGTGCATAGAGCGTCAGCCTGCGGACTCAAGGGTCCCGGGTTCAATTCCAGTCAAGGGTATGTACCTTGGTTGTGGGCACATCCCCAGTAGGGGGCGTGCAGGAGGCACCTGATCGATGTTTGTCTCTCATCGATGTTTCTAACTCTATTCCTCTCCCTTCCTCTCTGTAAAGAATCAATAAAAAAAAAAAATATATATATATATATATATATATTTTAAAAAAGAGCCCTGATTCTGGTTCATACAGATGTGCACTCCTGGGGGAGGGCAGCACCAGGGAGTGAGTCTTAAATGCTGAAACCAGGCACGGAGGCCCCTTTTTCCTGGTCTCCGATTTGAGGAGGGGCGTGTAAGCCAGGTCTGGCCAGCGAGCCTGAGGGCAGTTTGCAGGGTTCTTCCTGGAAAGGTGTCTTCCTTCCTAGAAAAATAAACAAGGCGGAAACGGTCCCTCTCCTTACGACGGACTTGGCTGGGCCTGCTGGGTAGCCAACTGACACCCACAATGACCCTCAGGTCTGGCAGCCCCGCTCGCAGGCTGTGACCAGCTGGGTCCTCGGCCCAGTGGCTGAGCTGTCACCCACCCAGGAGCCTGCCTGTCTCCGCACTTCCTGTCGGGGACAGTGAATGCCTCCTTGTTTACAAGGCCGGGTAGAGGCTCCCTGTCACCGGGAGCCGAGGCTTCCGGCCTGATCCCGGCTGCAGCCGCCGCCGGTTTCATTCTCATCCGCTCGGCCAGGATCCCACCGCCATGGAGCGCACGTGTAGCCACTGAACACCCGGGGCGCCCATGCCGGCCTGCAGTGGCTCGTATGGGAAGAGACTTGCGGTTCTGCTGATCACTGTGGCTTAATCCACTCAGAAGGTCACCACCGTGGCGCAGGGCACGTCGTACCACCTCGTCAGCGCCCCATCACCGACCAGCATTATGGCACATCCTCGTGGACTTGAGGATCAGAAAGCGAGCCTGAACCCAGGGACCTGCCGGGCCAGCCCTGCCTCCTGACGCCTGGGAATTCAGACCTGCTGCTGCCCACCCCTGCGTGTGTCACTGTTAAGAACTGAGTGAGGTTATATTTTCTTTTTGAGGCTAACACAGCTGTGGGCAAACTACGGCCCGCGGGCCGCCCTGTACCCTTTTATGTAATGATGTTTACTTTGAATTTATATTAGTTCACACAAACACTCCATCCATGCTTTTGTTCCGGCCTCCGGTCCAGTTTAAGAACCCATTGTGGCCGAAACCGGTTTGGCTCAGTGGATAGAGCGTCGGCCTGCGGACTGAAAGGTCCTAGGTTCAATTCCGGTCAAGGGCATGTACCTGGGTTGCGGGCACATCCCCAGTGGGAGATGTGCAGGAGGCGGCTGATCGATGTTTCTCTCTCATCGATGTTTCTAACTATCTCTCTCCCTTCCTCTCTGTAAAAAATCAATAAAATATATTTAAAAAAAACAAAAACCCATCGTGGCCTTCGCGTCAAAAAGTTTGCCCACCCCGGGCACATTCTCCTACTTTGAATAAGACGAAATGTATTTTCACGTGCTTACAAACCCGTTAATAGGTTCATTCGGCAGTTCCTTGTAAGTACATGTATTTTTAACACGTTTTTAAAATGCAGTCCTTGAAAGTGGTGACGTTGGCCTTTTAATATTCTGTTAGAATTAGGACTTCTTTCAGTTTTTAGCAGAGAGGAAATAAAATGATCAAGAAGGTCCCCCCCCCTCCAAGTTTCAGTAATAAGATTAAAATTTTTGAATCGAGACAGAATGAATTCCCTTCTGTTTGTGTTGGAAGTATGGAAAGACTGGCCGTGGCAGTGACTTTCAACTGTGTGGCCGGTTCGCACGCCGAGGCCGCAGCCCTGTGTGGGAGGGCCGTGACTGCAGCCTGACTCAGTATCTCCCCGCTCCCGAGAGAGGAAAACATCTTGAGAGGAAAATGAGGCTTTCATTGGCTTATGTCAAAAGAACCCTGATATCAGACGAATGTTCCAAAACATTGCACTTTCCCGGGAATCACTGGGTCTCCTGTGCATTCCCCAAAGTGACGTGTTTCTAAGACGTCGCTTTTTCATGCAGAGCAGTGATGCTGAAGACTGGTCAGTGGTTGCCCTGACGTTTCTATTTTACAAAAGAAACTCGGTGCCAGCTGCCTCCTTCCTCCTTCCTGGGGTCAGACTGGTCTTGACTCAAAATCTTGCTCATTAGCCCTTTCCCTGGGGGCACTGCCCGCTGGTGGCGGCAGAAAGCGAGTCCGGGTGGGGTGGGGGCCCCACACCCAGTTGGCACCCTCACCCTCGAGGCTCTGCCTCACAGATGCCCAGTAATTTGGCTGGGCATGCTGGACATGACTCATTTTTTTTTTAATCTGGAAGGAGCATAAACAGACATTTCTTCTGGGTTCTGCTGCGCTTGGTGCTTAGGCGTTTGGTTGTAGGGTTTAAGCTCTCTGTGGCCCTCCTCGCCGCCTCCACACTCCTATTCCCCCCCCCCCCCCCATCCTGGGGCTGCCGTTCTGCCTGTCTTCCCCACTGGCTTTGTGATCCAGCCAAGAGCGGACTGTCCTGCACGTAGAGATAAAGACGGTTTCAGAAGTGTTCTGGCTTGTTCTGCCTTAGAAGTCTTATTTCCCATTTCCGTGCTACCTGTGCAGGTTTGAGGTAGGGAAAAAAGGCCCACTCCTGAGAGAAGTTTCATCCTAGCTGCGGGCGCCTGGAGGGTGGGGCAGGTGTGCCCAGGAGGCCGAGGGCGGAGCCCTGCCCTGCCCACCCCCTTACCGGCTGCCTCCCTTTGGATGGACCCCGGCTTTCTAACCCGGTAGCTTGGTTTTAGCCTTCAGGAGACACGGTGAGGTTGGTGACGGGGAATGCCCTTAAAGCTGTAAAGCTACTGATAGTCAAGGCCATTCCAACTTCACTGGTTAAAAAGCTCAAAAGGCTAAGCTTGGGGTGGTAATCCTCACCCACATCTTTCCAAACACTAGAAAGGGGAGCCTCTCTTTTAGGATGGGCTGTTCATTTTTAAAAATATATGTATTTTATTGATTTTTTTACAGAGAGGAAGGGAGAGGAATAGAGAGTCAGAAACATCAGTGAGAGAGAAGCACCAATCAGCTGCCTCCTGCACACCCCCTACTGGGGATGTGCCTGCAAATGTGCCGCCGACCACCAGTTACTCCTAAACCCAAATGCGACCGCCCTTCCGAGCTGCTCTGCGCAGCGGGAAGGAGGACGGGGGGCCACGTGTGTGGGGGACAGCGTTCAACGCCGACCCAGTGTTGGGATTTTTGATAAATTATTCACTAAGTCATTCCACTTGGGTTTTTTAATGTCCATTTTACATGTGAGGAGTCTGACACTTAAGGAGATCCGGTATCTCATACAAGGACTCTGGCTGGAAGTGCCCGGAGTGCACATATTTACTTAAACATATGTCAACAACAAATAACAGTCGGGTCAGATGTTTAAACAAACCTCAGTCAGTATACAGAGAGCAGAGACAGTCCTCGGACAGCCACGAGCACTCAGCGGACTGCGTTCCGCCCTCACTGGGGGTCATCGGAGATCTCCTTCAGCGGCTGCCCTGACAGCAAACAGGCAAGAGCTCTGAGATCTCTGTTCCCACAGAGCACGGGCTCGCGCCTCTCCGTCCCACGGGCTCCATGACCTGGGAAGGGATGCTGTGTGGTTATCTCTGCGTGACTCATCCCAGCGAAGTCGGCCTGAAGGGGCCTCGGCCCAGAACCAGAAAGGCAGCCCACCAGGGCTGCGAGGTCCCACAGTCCAGATCCCATGGAACAGATGGAAGTAGCAGTCTAGGGAGGGAGGGAGGGAAGGCATGGCTAGGGACTAGGGAAAAGGAGCTTCAATGAAACAGGCAGAAACAGTCTCACAAATGAACAGCCCAGCCCTGGCCGGTTTGGCTCAGTGGATAGAGCGTTGGCCTGCGGACTGAAGGGTCCCAGGTTCGATTCCGGTCAAGGGCATGTACCTTGGTTGCAGGCACATCCCCAGTGGGGAGTGTGCAGGAGGCAGCTGATCAGTGTTTCTCTCATTGATGTTTCTGACTCTCTATCCCTCTCCCTTCCTCTCTGTAAAAAAAATCAATAAAATATATTAAAAAATATTTAAATCTTTGTTTTACTATGGTTGCAAATATCAAAAAATTTCTATATGTGACACGGCACCAGAGTTAAGTTAGGGTTTTTCAAAATGCTGGCACGCCGAGCTCAAACGGTTCGTCATCACTGGGCTAGATGGCATGTAAAGGCAGGAGAGAGAAGTGCTTTGCTTACTTAATGTCATTTTAATTTTTTAAAAATATGTTTTTGATTTCAGAGAGGAAGAAAGAGGGAGGGAAAGAGAAACATAAACGATGAAAAAGAATCATTGATCGGCTGTCTCCTGCACACCCCCTACTGGGGATCGAGCCTGAAACCTGGGCATGTGCCCTTGACCAGAATCAAACCCGGGACCCTTCAGTCTGCAGGCCGATGCTCTATCCATTGAGCCAAACCAGCTAGAGCTTAAATTTTTATGAATAGGTTAAAAGCATTTACTTGATTCAAAGTCAAAGTCACATGCATTTTTCTTGTTCTTTGGTAAATGTGGATTTGATTGGTAACCAAAAGGAGTTACTGAGTGGCTCAGATATCTGTGGGCTGTGTGCGTGGGGGAACTTGGAGCAGATATGCACAGTGGTCCTGCCCCCACATGGAGGTGATTAGCGATCTGGCTTCGTGCAGTAAGGGTTTTATTTTAATATTTGGCCATGGCTTCATAAAGACATGAACTTCAGCGTTGGAAATGTGGGGAGACAAACTGTATTTACATAATACAGAAGAGCCGCGTTAGCTGCCAGCTCCCTGGATGGAGAGCCAGCCTTAAATCTCTCAGGAATGAGCCTGGCTTTTTCTTCCCTCACTCAGCGCTTTCCTATTGGCCGGAGACATTTTAAACTCCAGCCGCAGCTGAGTCCAATACAGGATCCAGCTGTAACTTCTTGGTTGTTGCTAGCGTATCCGGGGATGGTCATAGCAAACTCATTGTATGAGAATTCAAGAAAGGAAAGGGCAGGGTGGGAAAAAAGTGACACCCTATAAAAGTA